ATGCACCTTGAAAATATTTAAACTGCATATCACTCATGACACACAAACTTAATGCTATCATTAAACAGTGTGTAAAATTACAGTTGCTATGTATATAAATTGTTTTTTAATTTCTGCACCAATCATGAATACTAACTTAGTACTTACCTTTATCCTGAAAGTGACATACTTTTGTTAGTTTCCAAGTTATATATTTTTTAATGTAGTTTATTTCTGTTTTTTCTTCTAATTACAGTTTTAAATTCAGGGACAACAGTAATGATTCATCTTTAGATTTTTATATGAATATTTATTTTTCACATAAACATTTTTCAAAGTACAGTAATAGTAAACATAGTTAATATCGATAAATAAATACATAAATTGAATCAAATTTGTGGGGAGTGATAAATGAAATTTACTTGCATACATAAATATCCTACATACATCAAGAGACCATTTTGTCCTTCAATATTATTTCATACACCCATTGAGAAAAGTAAGAATTTAAACCCACCTTTTACAGGAAATCATTGGTTTCCTTTCTTAAACTTCTGTAAAGTACTGACATCTATTACTGAAATAAGCAACTCATTCTATAAGTCAATCACTGTCTTTAGCCTAGTATGTTGCTTCTAAATTGTAAACAACTGTTCTGTTGTTCTATAATTTTCATAACATAGCACAATATACTGAAAGTCTTTATACTACAGGTCCCCCAAACAAACTTGTAAACTTCATTAAAATCATCTCTTACCCCTTTTTTCTCAAGATAAAATAAGAGCTCCTAGCCTATCTCTGTACAGCCTTTCCATTCCTGGAAACATCCAAGTAGCTTTCCTTTCAAAACATTCTAATAAGGTCAGTATCCTTTTTTAGGTAAAGCAGTGTTCAAAATAAGTGGTTTCTGGTTGTCCGAGACAACTAAAATTACCGCTGAACAACTCAAATGTACTACTATATTGTGTATGGGACACCAGCAACGTGCCCAATCCCATGTCAGTCGAAGCATCTAGCTACTATTAGAACATTTAGAGCACTATATAAATTACGAGTAGTATGTCTATGGGCAACGTATTCTCATTTCTTCGGGGATGTGGTAATACAGACTACAAACATGCTTCACCATTAAGAGTGTTTGTTATAATGTCTTGCAAAACTGTCACAATTTATGACCACACGTGTGATTTCACCATTTACATTTTGCCTGTGTCTGAAAGTCAGGCTATAAAATGTTGTTAAGAACTGAACTAACAGAAGATCAACTGTCTTAATGCTAAATTCTGCATAACTCACATTATCATCAAGAACTTAAGGCTATACTCAGACCATATCTACCTGTACATATCAAAGGCCTTAATGTTGAAAGTGTGTACAAAAATGACAAGGCAGCAGTAAATTTTGCTTACTTCATTCCTGAAGTAGGCCTAGATCTATATTCTAATTTCTTACACTGTGCCCAATAAATGCTAGCCCTAGGGGCCTTGTAGTCTAAATCTAGATATGAAGCTCACAGTAATCAAATTTTAACTTTCTAATGGACTGCAACATTGTTGCAATCATAACTTGTAGGTTCTTTCACATGTCTATGTCTAGAGACTGAATGATTCATAATTGTTCTCTAGTGAAGAAGTTTTAATAGATTGAGATCTAGTGACAGTCTTATATCTAGGCCTTAGGGCATAGTACAATTACATTACTATAGTATAAACTTATAGACCAAGTTCATTAGATTTAGGTCTATTCGTTATAACTTATATTCTTCCCTTGTGCTGATGAGAGAAGATGTTCAAGAGAGCTACTAATGCTGGCTTCCTGTATTTCATCATGGACAGTTCCATAGACGCTTCTATGGTACAGCAGTAAATGGTGTACATCAGAATGTGCAAGGCTGGTAACTATTAACTTCCTGGACTTGTTACAAATGCAGAAGGAATTTTTAAAAGTTTTAAAAAGGTTGTCTCATTTGGAGTTGATGTTTGTTCAAACTAGTTAGTTGCTATGGGAACAGATGCAGCAGTGATGATAGGAAAAAATAATGTTGTTGTCACAAAAATGTAATTTTGATAGATACTTACCTCTCTTCTCACAGTAACTATTCCTCGTGCATTTGCCTTTGGGATTTTGTGCATTCCACCAGCCTTGAGCTATCTCCCATGTGTTTTAACATGAATGGTGTTAGTACATGATGTAATCATCATGCAACAAAGCCCTCCACAAATAGCACTTGCCCTTAAAATTAACTTCATTCTTAGATGAGCCAAGAGTTTGTTTGTTTGTTTGTAATTAAGCACAAAGCTACACAATGGGCTATCTGTGCTCTGCCCACCACGAGTATCGAAACCCGGATTCTAGCGTTGTAAGTCCGCAGACATATCACTGCACCACTGGGGGGCAAGCCAAGAGTAGTGTGTACCAGTAATGTGGAGAAAGGGTAGAAGGGTGTACAGAGAGGAAAGTATTCATTTGAAAATGTATTTCAAATGTTAATTTTCTAAATGATACACTTACCTCTTTGTGCACAGTAGCTAGAATGCCATATTGGTGTGATGGAGGTACTAGCACATGTGTGAAAACCTAGATGAGCTCTCTTTGGAGAAGGTGACTGAAGGGGAAAGCCCATAGACTGTGACACCCTACAGTGGGGTAACACTTGTGGGAGACTGCATCTATCTCATGCATTGTATTCTCTTCATTCAGATGGAAGTATGAAAGTAAAAAAAGCAAAATGAGATGATGTGTTATAAGGATGGGTGTAAAAAGGCATGACCAACACAACAGGTCAGTTGGACATGGAGTATAGTGTGTGTGGTTTGGTATGTATTCTGTTGTACAATATACCCACATATATTGCATTACAATGACATAGACACCCCTGCCCTACTTTCTACTGTATTGTGTTGCCCACTTAGACCCTCACCAGAGGAAATGTGCAACCAGCAAAGAGCTCTAAAAGTTAACCACCTGAGCAGCTAGGAACTGGGAGTGGCAAGGGTCTCCTGTATTCTACTCAAAAAATGAGGGGGGGAATTCACGTTGAAGAATTCACTGCATATGTCTCTTATTAAAAAACAGCAATGGGTACTGCGAGGTATAAACTGAGGGGGAGAACAGCATAAACTAACAAAATAAGAGGTACTTATCTGATAAATACAGAGTTTAGACTAAACAATAACAACTGGAGGGAGACGAAACTGCAAGATGGAAAAGATAATGGGACACAAAGGCCTTTGAACATCTCCCTCCAGGGAGGAATAGATGATCCAGATAAGCTGTCAAACTAGTCTGGGAGAAGGTGAAGAGGAAGGTACACATACAGAAAGAGATAAGACTGGTCCTGGCTGAAGGCATTCACAGCCAGAGATGATGGGTGAGCTATTGGGGACCAAAAGAGGGGAAGTTTAGTATTGAGAGGAATGGCAAAGGCATTGATCATTGACATGCTTACCTCGGAACAAACCCAGTGAAATACCTGAGGATGAAGTGATCACTCTGTCAGAATAATCCTGTGTTGTCAAAGATTCAATCTGACACCAAATTCAAAGGCCCTGGGACATTACAGATGAACACAATGTGAGTGGACCCAAAACAAGAAGTCCAATGTACAGAAGCAAAGGTCAAAAGTCCCTAGAACAAGCCCCACCCTGACAACTGATATGGGAAATGACTGCACAACTGTTGGAGTGGATCATAACCAAGCCATTCCTAAGATGAAGTAGGAAAGAGAAACATACCTGATGGACAACCAAGAGTACCACAACACTGATGTGGATTGTATGCTACACAGGAAAGCAGGCTCCCAAGGCTGTGGAATCTTCCATATATGCCCCAACCTGTGTGAGATGCATTGAAGAAGAGATAGAAATCTGGACAGAAGCAGCAGAGAGATGCCAATCATAGTATTGGCATGATTTAACCATCAATACAAAGCATCAAAGAGAAAAGATGCCAGCATCGCAAGAGAGGACAGAGGATAACAAGAGGCCTTGTATTTGTTACTCAAAACTCCAATGAAGAAGTATCCCATGAACCAGTCTAGAGTGACAAGATGTTCTGGAGATGTAAGATCAC